TCCTGTGAAGCGGGCAGGGCAGGCATATCCTAATTTTATAGTTAGAGATTATCATTCACGGTTTTTCCATGAAAATGCTGCTTTACCAGCCTATGCACGTTTGCTCTGACTATTACACTTAAGAACACTTAAATCTTTCTGAGTTCCAGCTTTTTATTGTCCTTGTACTTAGGGACAAGCCAGGTAACAGTCCTTTCAGAAAAACAAAGTTCTCTCTCTTGATTTGGTTATATTGTCCTTCACCAAAACTCATGACAAGTTTTTTTGTCTTTCTTTTTTCCTCAAGTAACTATTCTAAAACGTAATAAATATTTTTTTCAGGTGTGCGAAGTCTATAAACTTCACAGAGAGACATTTTACTTGGCCCAGGATTTCTTTGATCGGTATATGGCAACACAACAAAATATTGTAAAAACACTTTTACAGCTTATTGGGATTTCATCTTTATTTATTGCTGCCAAACTTGAGGTAAATTATTTTCAAATATTTGTTATGTAACACATGCTGTTTCTTGAGATCCCCCGAGATTACTGCAAGAGGCCAACTGTTTGTCTACATTTTTCTAATTTGAGGTCATCTAAAGTAAAGATACATGCAGAAAGGGCTAGAAATTAACCAAAAAGTGAGGGAAGTAGTGAGTATATAAAATGCTTAGGGGAATGTAGTTACTTGAAGCCAAAAAATTGAACTTTGACCCAAGAGGATTAGAATTCTGATGTGATGAGAAGAGTGGATAGGCCCAACTTTAGAACATGCTGCTAAAGGTATGAAAAAGGTGAAAATTTCAAGAATATCCCCACTGAGTAAAAGCTGTGTTTATGTCTTTATTTATTGGTAATGATGGGTGTTTGGTTTCTTTCACAAGGAATGCATTTTGACCAGTGGAGTAGCTCCTGTATTTAGTCCATGATGTTCCCTCTTTCTATGCTCGTATACTAAAAACAGTGAATGTGGATGTACATTGTAAGCTGAAACTATTAGAGAAATTTGCTAGTCATTTCTCCCTTTTATTTCCTTCTAGGAAATCTATCCTCCAAAGCTGCACCAGTTTGCTTACGTTACAGATGGGGCTTGTTCAGGAGAGGAAATTCTTAGCATGGAATTAATCATTATGAAGGTAGGTTACAAGTTGATTTTTCAGTCCTTTTCTTTAAATGCATACATAATATCTTTTCTACATTCAGTATAAGTGCCTCTGACTAGGTGTTCTCCAGCTGGACACATTGTGGCATGGAGTGTGGCTGCATTTTGAACTCCTTTAGAGGCCCAAAGGGAGCAGAAATGTCTTTTTTTCTGCCCCCCTCAACCATTGATCTGACCTTTCTCTCTGTTTTCTCCTAGGCCCTTAAGTGGCACTTAAGTCCCCTGACCATTGTGTCCTGGCTGAACGTGTATATGCAGGTTGCGTATCTAAATGACTTATATGAAGTGCTCCTGCCTCAGTATCCCCAGCACATCTTCATACAGATTGCAGAGGTGAGTGGCTCTGTTACCTCTGGGGGTTCCTACCCCCCCGGGAGACGGAAGAACTCAGGATAGAGGCTGGCTGCCTGCTTCAGTGTTCTTTTCTGCTCCACAGCTTTTAGATCTTTGTGTCCTGGATGTTGGCTGCTTAGAATTTCCCTATGGCGTACTTGCTGCTTCTGCCTTGTATCATTTCTCCTCATCGGAATTGATGCAAAAGGTTTCAGGTATGTTGGATTTCCAGTTCATTCACAAGAAGTATTAAACTCACAAATCGACGGAGCCTAAAATTTACTTTTGTTGCAGGGTATCAGTGGTGTGATATAGAGAAGTGTGTCAAGTGGATGGTTCCATTTGCCATGGTTATAAGGGAGACCGGAAGTTCCAAACTTAAGCACTTCAGGGGAGTTCCTGCTGAAGATGCGCACAACATCCAGACCCATATAAACAGCTTGGATTTGCTGGTGAGTCGTGGTCCTTGTCCCCCAGATAAACTCCTGAGGCCACCGGAGCAGCTTCTCCACTCTTCTTTGGGCAGCCTCCAGCTATCCTCGAAAGCCTCCAATTCATCTAATTCCTTTGAGAAAGAAAAACTGTGTTTAATAGATGTGATGTCTAGATAGCACTGCAGACCAGTGACTTCAGATTGTTCTTTGCTGTTCTGTTGCCCTCCCCTCCGCAGAGAGGAGCACATAGGACACGAAGCCCGAAGGATGCATTCTTCCATTTTTACCATTTCTCGCTTTTATTCTTACCAGGACAAAGCCCAAGCAAAGAAAGCCATATTGTCTGAACAAAATAGGATTTCTCCCCTCCCCACCGGGGTCCTCACCCCCCCACAGAGCAGTAAGAAGCAGAGCAATGAGCAGGGGACCGCGTGAGCACACCAGCCTCCTCCACCCAAGACAGTCGTGCGGAAGCGCCCGCCCCAGGTTCTTGGCTGCGCACCGGGGCGGAGGCGTGCGTTAGCTTTTACAGATATTTAAATGGAAGAGCATGTCTCTTCTGCAACCGAAGTGTTTCTGTGGATGGCATTGGACAGGGACAAGTGTTTTTTATTGAATGCTTAGAGTTTTTGAAATAAGTGGGTCAAGTACACCAGCCACCTCCAGAACACCAATGAGTGCTCCAGATGCTGCTAAGGAGGGTGATACTTGACTTGATTGACTGTTCATGCACGGAACAAAGGCTTGAAGTCGCGGAGTGCCACGTTGCCGTGGGCTCCCCTCGGGTGTGCTGGGCTGTGTCGAGTTGAGGGGAACAGGTGGTTGTGAGTGTTGTGATGTGGAGCCCACAACCAACCGTGCTGGGGGCCTGCCCTTTTCACACTATCAGTTGACAGTGTACAATGCCTTTTATGAACTGTTATTTTGTAAGTGCTGCTACGTCTATCTGTTTTTTAATAAAGATAACACTGTCTTTGAGACAGCTGGTTTTATGAGCTCTTTGTGAGCATTTGAGTTAGAAGTCTTCTTTGAGTGTGGCTGTATCAAGTTCTCCTTTTTTGCTTCATACCTCTTAAAGCTCCCACCTTTCAAGCAAAGATATTTAAAAGAAGACTTCTGAAGTGAGCATTAGGGGTAGCCACGAATGCTTCCCGAGGGCCTCCTGAGGGGGGAACAAGGCCTTGATTTGGCATTTCTCCCACATTGTCCCAGCCCTACACAGCGGCTGCTCAGGTGGGGCTCACGGGCTGGCTGTGGCAGGACCAGGGAACTCGCGTCTGCAAGAGGATTCTTAGGGATGGTGTCTGCTCTGTGACAGGCCAGAGGTCATAAAGCACCTCTAGTAAGTGTTCCTCCACACCCTTTTCATTCTTACCCACATCTTAACCTAAAGAGCTTTCATTGGGAGAGCTTGTTAACAAAATGTCATAGCCTAAAACTATACTTTGAGAAAGAAAATGTATAATAAAATGATATATAGCTCAAGTGCACAGTCTGTTCCCTGACCGTTGATGGAGTCTCCAAGTGCCTTGCTAATGGAGGAAGTCCCTGCCCATTTTAAGGCCTAACGTGTAGAGGTCACCCCACATTTTGTGGAGCATTCTCATCGTGGTGGTCTTTTTTTTTTTTTTTTAAGATTTTATTTATTTATATGACAGAGGAACAGCAAGAGAGGGAACACAAACAGAGGGAGTGAGACAGGGAGAAGCAGGCTTCCCACTAAGCAGGGAGCCAACCCAATTCGGGCCTTGATCCCAGGATCCTGGGATCATGAGCTGAGCTGACCATAGATGCTTAAGAACTGAGCCACCCAGGTATCCCTCATCGTGGTGGTCTTGTGTGTCTCACTTCCTTGCAGTGCTTTGGTGTATGGGTTCAGAAAAAGGGAGGGCGAATGAGCAAACAAACCCACTTATTTTTAACTTGGTATTTTATCTCACTTTGCAAAACCCTGTCAGAAGTGGAAAAACAGACATTTAAAAATCTGTATCATATTTATATGAAGTTGGAGAGAGACCCTACTCTTTCCTGTTGTGACGCTATAGTTATAGCACGTTTTAATACGGCATTCTGGATGAATGCATTATAAATCTATATGTGCTGGTAGTCAGATGGTACTCCGAGCTAATTATTTCTTCATCTCAGGCACAGATGCTCCCACCTTAAAAAGCAGTGGATTTTTAATGGCGATCATTCATAAGTGACTTGTTGGAAAAATCCTAAAAGTGGTTAATTCACATTTGGTATTTTCTATGCAAAAATAGGGCACCAGAAACATTACTATTTTCAAAGCTTTGGATAAGTCTTAGGGCTTGACTGGTGAGGTAACACTGGTCTGAACACACGTTTGAGGCAAACACTACTTCATAGACCGTCCAGCCCACGTGCTGAAATGAGAATGACTTATATGCAAATTCGAGAGTACTGCATTTCTGGACCTCGGTGCTTTTTGTTTTTATTAAATAGCAATGTTAACCAGAGGCAGCTCTAATGAAGGATGTGTCCTGGGTGGGTAAGTGAAATTCATAGGAACCCATATTTTCTGTGACTCTGCCAGAAACACTAAGAGCCACTAGTAAGTAACATCAAGTTTCCCAGCTCTAAAGCGCTCCTCCCTTTCTAGTAGTTGGCACCAACTTTGCTCCCTCGCTGGTTGGCTCTGCATACCCATTTGCCAAATCATTTCTGTTTTGCCATTCAACTAAACCCAGCGGAGGCCAGGGGATGCCAAACAAGACATCGGAGGGAAAATGCCAGCTCTGGTCCACCTTGGATGAGTAAATGCTCTGAGGCAGAGGTGGTGAGCAGGAGGACCCAGAGAAGGAGGTGACGTGGTCCCTTAGTCTGACTTCCTTGTGCTAGAGGAGAAGCTAAGAGAGTAACTTATTGACCAACCATAAGGGCTGATTGGATTGTGGTAGAGCAAACCACATCCTCATGTCACGCCCTAGCTCACAGTTCACTCGCTAGACCTCCCCAGAGTTGCTCTGGTGTCTCTGTCCCCTGTGCCGAAGACAGAAAACCCTGGTCTTCAGGTAGTGGGTATGCAAGGCCTTCCAATGCCATCTTCCCCTCGTGGAACTCAGACAGCTTCTCACTGCAAGGATTTCACACCAAGTGGATAAATGATGTTAAGGTTCACAGGGACTTTAAGTTCCTAAAGGCAGATAAGTAAAGCTGGTGAGCCCTTTAAGATTTGGAGCACAGAGCAAGATAGACTTCTAGCCTCAAACTCAGACGCAAACGAGATTGGCGTTTATTCCAGCAAAATTAGGCTCTAGCTCAGAGCAGGGTTGGAAAGAGAAATCAAATCTGATAATGTCTAGTCATATTTACCCAACCGTGCATTTCCCTACCACATGTTCAACATTTTGAAATTCAAATCACATTTATACCTTGGACATTGTTAGAAGACTATTTTTATCCCTGCTGTAATCATCTAATTTGCTGATTACAGGTCTCAAATTGCCACAGAGAACTCAATTTTTGAAAGAATTGTCCTGTTTGATCAAATATGTTATTCAAGCAATGCAGTCATTTGTTCCACAAGGTTACCTGCCAGGCAGAGCGAACCAGGAGTAATAGCATTAGAAGCCTATACTTAAAATCAAGCATTAGCTAATCTGCCTGTGACAATAGAGTCTTAAATATAATTTGCTCCAGATACTTCAGTTCCCGCACTGACAGACAATTGCATTTTGTATTCAATGAGCATAGACTTTTCCCTACCTCATCCCAATTCCAAATTTAACTCCCGAAGACGCTGATGTGCTCAGTTTCACAGGCTTACCAGGTACCATTTCCCAGGAGCCTCAGACGGGAGGCCAACACTGTCCTGTATTGAATAACGACTCCCTCTACACCCTAACCCCCGCCTGTCTCTTAAATCATTTTTCCTGATCAATGCCAATTCCCAAACTCACATAGCATCTGACTGCAGTCAGTTCTGGTCTGATGCTGGCTTCCCCATTGTGGTATGTGAGGTGGCCTCAGTCCTGAGCCCCTGCTGTGCACTGGGCACCACCAGTCCTAGAGATGAAAGCACACGGGATGCAATCTGAGAGCTCAGGTGAGCCTGTCTGGAGCGGGGAGGGAGCATGGGGGCATGGGAAGGGCCTGGAGCAGAGCCGGTGTGTCAGTTTGAGAGGGTGCTGCTGTGTCTGCAGCGGTAAAGAGCAGTCACAGTCACGAGTCAGTGGAGGAAATAGGCGATGAGGCAGTGGAGGTGACAGAGGCCACGTCATAACGGGCTTTTACACGTCAGGCTGCACACGGGCCCAGTGTCCCTGGCAGCAGGGAGCTGGTGTTTGTGAAGGGGACAGTGATGGGCTCAGAGCTATGTCTGGAGGCAGAAGTTGAAGAAACAAGCCCAGAGTTCTGCCTCTCAGCATCCTGGGAAAAGGACCGTGCGCTCCACGCATCAGTGATTTCTAAATGGCCCTGCCTCCGTGACTACTCCACCTGTCCTTCCAGGCCACAGTGACTTCTGCACCTGCATCTTGGCCTGTCTGCTCATCCACAGGCAGCTAGACCCTCAGCTCCCATAGGACACCAGCCCTGCTTGGCCCACACCGCTGTCCCCAGCACCTCCCATCTGAAGGGTTCCTCCACCTGCACATCTCCTCCCAGTAATGCACTTTGCATCTTCTAAGGAAATTGCTTACACCACTTGCCGTTGTTAATACAATGGAAACTAGCGATACGCAATACACATAGGAAAACCACTCAATTCCCAAGTCATCAGTGAGATCAGCTCCCACGCATCAGACAGGCAAACACGTTTAAGTGCAGAAAGCAATACAGTAACTTACATGAAGACCCATCCCCAATTTCTCGTCACATTTTTTTTAAAGGACTACAACATTAAGGATGCCACCTAAGGGTCCCCTTGTCTCCCTCCCCTGTCCCATTGTCTTTCTTTCCTCCTCGGAGGAAGTAATCACCCCGAGGTCAGTGTGAATGATTCCCACACATATTTTTAGACTTTTATCTTTTACATTTGGCTCCATAAGCAATAGACTTAGGAAAACACCACTTTGGGTGTTTTAAAAACAGGCAAGAGTGGCATCCATCCTTACCTATAATAATACCACTTCCTATTGTCTTTCAACGTTATTTTCAACATTTACCCGCGTGGACATATAGAGGGTTGGATTTATTTATTTTTAACTGTGGTAGAGTTTTCTCTTCTGTGACTTTCCCACGAGGTATAAAGTCCCTCCCAGGCCAGCCCATGAGTAGGTCAGCAATGCCGTCACCGTCACCGATGACGCTGCCATGAACATCTCGCACACGCGTGGGCCATGTGTGTGGGTTTCTCCTGGGCACGTCCCCAGACCTGGAAACCGCCATGTCAAAGGGCGTGTGCTCCTGCGGCTTTACTAGGTGTGGTCAGCTAATTCCCCAAATTATGCCGATCAATCCTCCCAGCCAGGGAGCAGGAGAGAGCCTGCCTTCCCACGGTGGCTCCAGCGCTTGCGACAGCCATCTTTTAGTCCAGTGAAAATTGCTATTATTTAACTTCCTTGGCTTTTCTCTGATTGTGGAAGCAGAACATGTGTGATATGATAAATTAGACTTCTATGGACATGTACAACAGAGAAAGTAAAAATGCCCGAGGTGCCATCCTTAACAGTTTGGGTGTTAAAATAGGGTTCATGGCTCCAGAGCCTTTTCTATGCAGACACAAACATATGCATGGACAAAACATTTGCTGGGTTTTGTACAGAGCTGTTTCATCTAATTATATCTCTTAAATTGCTTAAAAATGCACGTACCCATACACACCCATCCCCTCCCGTTTTTCTTTTTCAGTGATTGCTTGCCAATTGATTTCATTGCTTAGCACATCATTTCAGGGCCTGGCACATGATAGGTGCTTATTAAATATTCACTCCCTGGATGAGCAGGGAGATGGATTGGTTCTTAGATGTGTAGTCGCTTTCATTAAATTTCTTACTCTTCCGTGCCCAGAAGAATACACTCTATCTTCCACTTGCAAAAGACCACATTGAGACTGAGAAGCAAGAAGCAAGACCTGAACAGAGATGCTGCTGCTATTCTAGTGTTTCTTCTGGGCAAAGGAGCCCCACACCATTGAATTCCAGTTCCTGGAAGGGTCACAAGAGTGGAGTGACACACAAAAGCCCGGACTCCAGTGCATCATCACACAGAGAGCAGAGAGGCAAAGCCATTCCCTGAGTCCTCCAGACGGTTCGCCGTGTCCCTCTTGCCAAGCTAACCAAGTTATTACCTTGTTGTAGAGGAGCAACGAGCAATCCGTCGTCGTGTGAGATGATGACTCGGCCTGAAGCCCTCCCCCTGAACTTCCGTGTCCTCCATCCCTCCCCGACTCTGTGCAGGGTCCCTGGGGCTCTCAGGGGGAGAAGCAGAGGCTGCCCATCTGGGCTGTGGGGCTGGTGCTGCCGTGAGGGGCTCTGTGGTGTTTGGGCTGTAAAGAGGTTTTGAAACATTTGAGCCGATGTGTGAAAGGTGGGAGAGCTCACATAGGCTTGCGTCCACCCCCCAGGCCCCGACAGCCTGGCCGGCAGGGCTCACAACGTGCAGACTGCCAGAGTGCCCACGGCCCCCTGCCCCGGCTCGGGAGTCCCTACCGCTGATCCTCATCTGCACGCTGCTGACCTCCCAGAGAAGACAAATGCTTGTGCCCCTAACTGTGAAAAGCAAGCAAAGAGTACAAAGGAAGAGAGCAGAAAGGTCCAAAGAAAGTGACAGAGAGACCAGACTATTTGAGCATGTTCACGATCAGGACAAAGCATTGTGGTGTCCAAAGACATCTTTACCTGTCTGCCTCCCACAGGCGTTGGAGTTTCAGATTCCTGGACTTCCGGGAAAGTCCCGGCTCCCCGCGCGATGCTGTGGGGCTTTCGGCTCATCACTGACCTATTTCGGGCTTCAGACCCCTCGAGGGCCCAGTGGGTGGGAGGCCACAGCATGTTCTCTCAGTGGGAGCCCAGGCTCTCAGGGGTTAAGAGTGGGTTTCTGTTTCTCTTCAAAGGCTGGTCTTCCAGGTGGTGAGGAAAGCCCGGGCTGGGGTGTTTTTAGGTTTGCAGTACACTTCAGGCAACTTCCCTGCTTCCTGTCATGCAAAGGAGGTTTCATTTCTCTTGACATCAAGGGTGGGTGGAGCACGAGGGCGACAGTGCGCAGGGCAGAGGGCAGGCTGGCAAGCAGGTGGGCCGGAAGCCGGCCAGGGGCAGAGGGCTGCCCCATCTCCCCCAGGTCCTCCAGGAGGCCTGATGACCCTCAGGGTGACCTCTGACACTCGGCCCATCTCAGGCATGTCAAGGCCAGACAGGGGGTAAGTGTGATTCCGGGGCTGCTTCCAGAAAATGCTCCCACCCCCACCCAAAGGCTGGTGCCCGAAAGGGGCCTGACTGTGCAGGGTGGCCCTGGACAGGGTCCCCGAGGGTGGGGGTGGGGGCAGCTGGGGTCCAACTTTGTTCTTCCTTGAATAGAACCTGTGCTGTCGGGCTACAAAATGCTCTTTCTACTTCTGCCCTGGGAGGGAGAGCACGGAGGCACCAGAAGACACATTGCAGCAGGAAAAGATGAGTTTTCAGATCCTGGGAGTGATTTTCTGCACCGTTCATTTTAGCGACATCCAGGGCAGTGGAAGGAGAGGGCTCGTCTGTGGACGAGATAGATGCAGGTGCCAATAAAGAATTCATGGGAGCACAAAAGGCGGGCTGGGCGGGTTTTATTAATTATATTTCCTTTATCCTCCTAACAATGGCATGTCAGTAATCTCCACTGAATGTGCCCAATTGATGCTAATGATTTCATCCTTTTGTTTCTGTGTCTAAAAAAAAAAAAAAAAAAAGTGTGTCTGCCCCAGCCAGTCAGGCCCAGAGTGAGCCTGGATCCCAGCAGGACCCGGGAAGCTCTCCTCTGGACCCCTCCCCCTGTCCTTCTGGTACCCGGGCAATGGCAACAGCACTGGCAGTGGCCATTTGTCCTGTCCCCAGGCCCTGCCAGCCTCCTGCTTTGCCGTAACCCAGTGGACAGGTACCCTCGTTGATGTGGGTGGCTGGGTGGGTAGGAGTGTGCGTGTTTGGAGCAGCATTTCAGGGCCAAGAACCCCTCTTGGTGCACCTCGAATCACATTCCTCACCCAAGGGTTCTTTTTGAGGAAGAAAAAATACAGGTTATGGATTGCTTTCTTCCCGCAGTTCCCGTCTACTGGTATTGCGTTTCACTATTTGGCATAAATGGGGCAAGGGTGTGTGTGCTGGCACACAGCGATGACTGAAAGAGCCCCAGAGCATTTGCCTCTGTCTGTCACCACCGATCCCCCCCGCCCACAGAAGCCTGGGAGGAGTGGTCAGGAATGGCATCCAAGTTTCCAAGCGGAGAAGTGCTGAACCTCACTGTCCTCTCCTTCCGGCTGCCTCCCCATCACGGGCTGCCGACATCTGGCCCCGGACAGGTCGGAGGAAAGCATCTAGCGCAGAAACAATGTTTCCTATCACAAATTAACCAGACGAATGTGCTTACCTGGCACTTAGGCTGCTGTGTGGAGATTAACTACCCTCGCAGGAGATATGGGCTGGTGCACGACCTGTGAGCAGCCGGGAGCTAAAATGAGAACTCTGTGCGAGGACTCTCGGCTGCAATGGCTCAGAAAGAGCTTCTAGAATGGGGTTGGGATGACCCTCCTGTCCCCCTTTTCACCTTGACACCCTTCCACACCATAGCCCTGGTTTGTGGGAAGGTCCTAGAGCAGGGGCCCAAGTGGCCAGCTCCACCTGCCACTTGGATGGCAAAGTTCTGGTTACCCTGCAAGGGAATTATGGTGTCCTGCAGCTGACGATGGGGGCCGTGGGCACAGCTGAGGGTGGGTGTGCTGCTGCAAGTTCAAGGAGGTCGTTTGGGAGGAACAGGCAACTCTTCATGCTGGCATTGCCCACCTCCTTCTCCACCTGGCTTCCTAACCTCCAGATGGCCTCCTGGCAGGTGACGGGAACCAGTGTGTTCAGCCAGTGTTCCAGGCCCCTTCGAGCAGCCTTGGTGGCACCAGCGCTGAGAAGACCCACTGTCACCATGGGGGTTGACGATGCCCTGGTGGAGGGCCCCACATACTCGCTCACCTCAAACAGCTGCTGGACCCTGGCACACTCGGCTGCTGGAAGTCTTGTCGCGGCCACCCCAGGTCGGGCAGAAAGTCTCAGCATGACAGCCTGCAAAGTAATCCTACATTTGAATTTCATCTGCAAATTCTCATTCCTCCAGACAAGCTCAAACCTGCACAGATGGCCCCTCACACCGAAAAGTAAAAATAACAAAGCTTGCGATTCCAGGCCTCCCTTTTTCTCTGGGCAGATGTGCTGCCACACATTTCGGGAGGCGCACAGCCTGTGGCCCGGCAACAAGCCCTCTCCTCCTGTGTATTCTCGCTCACCCCTTCTGGCGTGATGGGGAGTAGGGGGAGCAGCCATGGCCCCTCTGGGGGTGTTCCTGGATGCATTTCTGGGGTGCCTGAGCCTTTGGAGTGGTGCAAAGGGGTATGGGGCAAGGGAATTAGAGTGAAAGCCCATCCCTCACTCCACTGCCCAAAATGGCCATACGGCCGTCCACGAGATGGTCCAGGGAAGAACTGAGGGGCTGGAGCAAGGACTCGGGTAAAGTCGTCAGTGAAAGAGGGACAAGGGAATGTCAGGCATGCCAAGGGCAGGGGGCAGAGTGAAGAGAGGAAACTCTGGGAGTTCCTGATTTTCTGAACTCCTCCAAACCCCAAATAGGCACAGGGGTTTTGATGACTCATTAATTCTCTCCCCCAGTGTTTGCCCAAAGCCTCTATGGCTGGTCCTGAGGTACAGTTATGGACAAGACACACTCAGGGAACACTGACCACAGAGTATTCAGTCAAGAATATCTGTGGGCTGGGAGGCTACAGACTCACTGGTCAGGAAGGCCAGAGCAGGAGACTGAGAGAGACTGTAGGAGGCAGGAGCCCCCTGCCAGAGACACTCTCCAGATAACTGTAGCTCAGATCAACCTCTGATAAGCCATGTGGCCTGGAGCCCCCAAGTCTCAGCCTTCTCATCAAGAAATGAGATGGCCAGATGACATAAAGATGTTTAGCTGCAAGTGAAACACAAATTCAAACAGGAGAAACAAGGAATTCATGGCTACTTTTAACTAGATAGCCCAGGGGCACACATAGCTTCAGGAATGGCTGGATCTGGGTGTTCATATGCTATCATCAGGAATCTGTCTCTCTCCCTTGCTCAGCTCTGCTTTGTTCTGTGTTGACCTCCTCCTCCAGATGGCACCTGCCATTATCTCCAGGGTAATATTCCTACCAGCAAGCACCTCCTTCCCAGAACCTCTAGCCAGAGTCCTGAGGATGACACTCATTGGTCCAGCATGGGTCACATGACCATGTTTTCTCTCATCACTGTGGCCAGAGGGAAGCAGTGCTCTGACTGGCCAAATGTGGGCTGCTGCCAGGCCCTGGGGCAGGGTTGGAGTCAGCCCCATCCCAGCTACCTGACTCCATAGAGGAAGCGATGTGTTGCTGTTCTGAGAAAGCAGCAAATACAGAAACAAACACCAGAAACCCTCTGAAACAGCAAAGACCTGAAGCTGCTGCAAAAATCCCACTTCAGGATCCTTCTTGCTGCAGGTGTGTGGCCACTGCTGTGCCCCGCCCAGCATGCAGGATAGGTTCCAGACACCCATGTGAGGATGCCTGTCCCAACATCCTGCCTCAGGGGTGGCAGCGATACCCCACTGAGGCCTACCTTCCCCTCCCTCCCCCAATTTTCCCTCTGGCTTTTCCTAGGTCTCCCTGTGTTTCTGTTTCCTTCCTTAAACCAGCACCTGTGATCCCCTAGTTTAGCCAGGAGGAAAAAGACAGAGATCGGGAGGGTCCTCACTAGCCAAAGCCCCAGGCCTGGGCCTCTTATGCACAAAGCCTGTTTGTTACCCAGAAAACCACTGTGGTTAGACTTTCCCTCTTCAGTAGAATAAAGGTGCCCCATCCAGCTTCACACTGCAGTTCAGGGAGGCTCAGAACGGGTGTGGCCAAACATGCTAGACCTCTGGTCTTCCCATTGGGGTGGTGCAGAGGAAGCGGCATTATCAGAGGGAGACAAGCTGAGGCTGGTCAGTAGGTAGGTGAGTGGGAAGGAGGGAACAAGGAGGGTTCAGCTTCTGGGGCACCACACAAGCCTGTGTCACTGTCTTGACCTGTCAGCGAATGCATCAGGGCAAGTCACTGTTCAAAGGTGCTTGCCAGGAACCTTCCACGAAACAGATCTTGAGGAAAGAACTGGGGTTGGGCTTGGATTCTGGCAGCAGGAAAACACAGTTCCCAGCCAGAGTATGGGTGTGCACCACGGCGTGCATAGCACTGTCGCCAAGGTTTTATTTAGTCACTTAAGTCTCCCACCACCCCGTTTTAGAGAATAAGAAGTTGAGACAGGACGGTTCAGGTTCAGCCTCTCCCCCAAGGTCAAATGGAAGGGGGTAGGGGGCCGTTTCAGGTGTCTATACTGCGTAAGAAGCGGGATTGGTTAATCCTATTAACCAGCTTAGATGAACCCCCAAAGCCAACCCAGGGTCCCAACCCTGAGGGAGGCCCCAGTACTCCCTCAGGGACTGCCGGACCTAGGGAGCCCGAGTGGCGCGTGCACTTGCCAGAGCGCTGGGTACTGCCCGTGGAGCCAGGTAGATCTGCTTTTGGGCCAGAACACGCTCTCCTCTGAATCCTGAACACTCTGTCCACCCCTCCCAGGCCTCTGCCAGTCCTGACCCCAGGCGGCGGCCCAGTGCTGATGCGGCGCCTCGGGGTCGCGCGGGGAGAGAAGGAGAAGGAAGAGGAGGAGGAGAGAAGAGAAAGGGCGGCCAGGGTAGGAGGCGGCTCCGGGAAGGCGCCCACGAGTGTCTTGGACGCTGCCCGATGCAAGGGGCGCTGACGACCCCCAGCTCCCTGAAGAAACAGGTGGGTCCCAGAAGGGTCTTGCAGCGACGCTGGGCCAGAAACCCTCCTCAGGTCCATCCCCCCCACGCTTGGGCGGAAGCTACCGCCCCCATTTGGCGAACGCGGCTTATGAGCCTCCGGTGGAGGCGGGCACCGCAGCTACCCTGCAGCACAAACGGGGAACCTTAGGCCTTTCCCGAGCGTCCCTGCCAACTCCAACTCCTCGGGTGGGAACAGGACGTGAGGAACAAGACCTGGACCTACGCACGAAGGAGCAAGGAGGCCGGACCTAGGGCGCACCACTTTCTGGCCTCGTGGCTTTGGAAAAGTTTCTTAGGCGCTCCGGTGCCGCCTCTTCCATCTGTGAGATGGGACCGCGCCACAGGTTTGCTACGTCCTTTAGGACAGGGCCTGGCGCAGCTAAGCCCGACCTCAGTGCCACTGTCGCCCAGGAGCAGAATGGGAGGACCTGCACCTCAGCCTAGCGCGCGAGGCCTTCACAGGCCGCGGCCTCCAGGAGCTGCACCGGCCGCGCGCCGCAGCCAGCGGGCCTAGCAGAGCCAGCCCGCAGCCCGCACCGCCCACCGCGCTCAGGCTCTGCTCCACGTGCAGCGTGTTTACCCACGTGATACCGCCCCGCCTGCCGTCCCGGGCCCCGCCCCCTCCTCGCCCCGCCCCGCCGCGGCCGCGAGAGCGCGGTTGGAACCTTGGTGATAGCGGCGGCGGCCGCCAGGCGCTGAGGGCCCCGAGCGCGGCCTCGCGCCGTCCCGACGCCCGCCGTGAAGACCGAGCGGGCCGCTCCCCGTCCAGGCCGGTCGGGCGCGCGCGAAGCGACGGGGTGAACCTTTGGTCAGGTCGGGCTCCGGGGCTCCGCGGGGTGCACCCCGCGGCAGGGGCGGTGCCGGAGCCGCCGCGGGCGGGGATGTGGGCGGGGCCGTTTCCGCGCAGGCACTCCGCCGGGCTGGGGGCGGGGCGGGCCGGGGGCGTGGCCGCTGTCGAGTGCCGCGGGGTTGGAAAGTCCTGGACCTCAGGGCGGTGGGAGGGGAGGGGAGTGCGTCACAGTGTGCTGGCCCGGGCTCTCCAGAGACAGGCCCGGGTAAAGCTTGGCCATTCGCGAGAGGGCGCGTTCACTCCCAGATAACTCTGCAGTCACTCCCTTCTCGGTCCTCCTCCCCTAGGCTTCCCCCGTGCGCCCTTCCTGCTGTCTCTCCGCGGCGTCCTCAGACCCTCCGGTTCTGGTGTCGCCCAGGGCTCCGGCCTCAGCCCCCTTGGCTTCTGGGCTGGCCCTAGGATGTCTGTCCATCCCTGGTTTGAACTCCCGCCTCTGTGAGCGTAATCCTGGCAGTTCTACTAGCGGCTAACCCCTATGTGCCAGGTGCTTTGTGAAATTCACTAATACCACTTGGAGTTGTTAAGCCTAGAACCCTAAATCTTTGTCCTCTCCCAGACCATTGCCCTCGGTTCTATATACTTCTGGTCACACGTCTGGTAGACCCCTCACTGGGTGTTCCACAGCCCCAAGTGGGCGAACGTGTTGGAAGTGGAACCCAACTTCCTTCCCCAAATCTGCTTCTCCCCCAAGCTCCCCTCAGTGAAGAGCATCACCATCTCTTCCAGCCCTGTTTGGGGGCAGCCAACCCCCAAATAGGGCTTCAGTCTTGGATCCTCACTCAGGAATGTAATCTGTCCCAGAATCCCATCAGTTC